GTTGTATAAAACTCTTAATCACTTTTTAATCACTATTTTGTAGTTAAATAGTGATTAACTCTCAAATACGCGCTTCTTATTGGATGACATTTCCACTAACTATAGTTAACTTTAATCACTTTTTTATACAACCGGCCCCTGGACTCATAGCAGTCCAAGGGAGCATAGAAACACAGATTCCCGCCCCTCGGACTCTTTCAACCTCTGTGACTGGGATTCAATCAGGGTTCGATCCCTATCATTGTCAGGTATTTGATTGTAATTTCACTTCATTCGTATAAAAGAAAAGTGCTTCTGAGTTTTATACCCGGATAAAATCCAGCCTACCGAAAAAGTGGGGGCATGCCCCCCCCCCCTGCTTCGCGGTCCCTCGCCTTCAGAGAGAACAGTTTTTAGTGGGTGACAAAATATTTTACTAATACATATTGATCAAACAATGTAATTTTATTTTCCGAAATTCAGCAACCAGTTTACTTTTCCCGCTTTTTGTTCGGGCTGTCACACAATCGACGAACTCTTTTTCGCGCCTTTTCTTTATTACCAATACTATTTTTCGCGCCTTTTTGAAGGATGTTATGGGAGGGTGGGTGGTTCAATTTGTCCGCTTAATTCCTACGTAAAAATATAACAGAATTCGCTAAGTATAAGGCTTTGGAAATGTCTAAATAAGTTTCTTATATATAGGTAACAGTTTGTGTTTCGTTATAGTAATTTCTTCTGAAATAAAATTAGTTTTTAATATGTTATTGAAGGGTACTCCCCCTCAGTAGAGATTAATGTCTTCGATATTAACGGGCGGTATATTTAAAAGTGGCAAATGGACCAATAAGAAGCATTCTAGGTAGTCTTCGTTTTCGACTCCCAAATCCCAATCCAAAATGGCCGAATTCAGTTCACCAGGAACGCCGAGCGGACGGCACGAAAAATCGTTAGGTTTGCTAACGACAAAATTTGTAAATCTTTTACAAGAAGCTAAGGATGGTGTCCTTGATTTAAAAATGGTTTGTTTTATTTAAGCGTTTGTTTGTTTCCAGTAAATCTTTTCCTTAGACTTCAGTCGCGTTGTCAGTTTGCTAAATTCGAATATATTTTGTTTGGAACTTTTCATAGGCGGCTGATACATTGGCAGTGCGTCAGAAGAGACGGATTTATGATATTACAAATGTTTTAGAGGGAATCGGGCTGATTGAAAAGAAATCCAAGAATAGCATTCAGTGGAAGTGAGTTGAAAATAATGTATAAGACAGTTGGAATATTTTTTTGTAAACATTTGATAAACAAGCAAAATTCATCATTTTGGGCCCCAGGGGGATGGTGGGGGAATCAATGGAGGTTTTGTGGCCTAATCTGGTCCTTAACAATTGTTAAAAGAATGCTGACAGGTTGATTTTATTTTCATTGTTGACATGCCAGATTGCAGAGATGAGCTGTTTTAGACAAGGTCTTGG